CATTTTTGGGGGCCATACCCTATGGTGCTCAGGGTTTACTCCTGACTCTGTGCTCAGGAGTCACTCCTGGTTCAGCTTGTGGGACCATATGAGGTGCTGGAACTCAAACCTGGGTGCATGCAAGGCAAATGCACTACCTGCAGTACTATGTCTCTAGCCACTGGAAGCTCTTAAGACTTTCTCATGAAAACCATAATCTTAATATTTTTGTGGTGCCTGGTATCAAATGTAGGCCTCATGTGACGTGTGTTTTGCATGTGTACTACCGTGTCACATCCCAGACCTTCTTAAGAAAATCTTAAACTATTTTTCACATTAGACTGATATTTTGAATTCTTTTGAATTCTGGAAGTTTCAAATCAAAGATTTTTTTCTTTCACTTTTCTTTGGTTTATAATGCTATAATGCTACAGATCTTCTGGGACCTGGCTTTATACCTCTGTGTGTGATTTGGACTTACCACACATTTTATGCAGGAGGCTCAGTTTGATCCCTGGAACTGCATGGTCCTGTGTCTTCCCACTCTCTCCCCCAGCCCCCAACACAGCCAGGAGTGAACCCTGAGCACAGAGCTGGAGTAACCTGGACACTGCTGGGTGTGATCCAAAACAAAGACCAACCAATCAAACAAATCCTTTATTAACCTGGAGCACGTTCGGTATGTGGGCTGGGTTCATCTATGCCATCACACTTCCCAAGTACCACAAGTAATGACTGTGGAAGTTAGAGCAAGAAGTAGCCCCAAAGTAGATAAATGAGAAATTTAAATCCTTGTTAAAATCAGGATTTTAAAAATTTTAAGTAAAAAAATTGTGAAAGTAAATTTTATACTTTGCTATTAATATCCCCACGGCAGAGCCTGGCAAGCTATCCGTGGCATACTCAATGTGCCAAAAAACAGTAACAATGACGATTCTCATTCCCCTGACCCTGAAAGAGCCCCCAATATGCCATCGGGCTATACTAGCACACAACAAGGACAAATGGAGACGTTACTGGCACCCGCTCGAGCAAATTGATGAACAATGGGATGACAGTGATACAGTGAATTTGAAGACAAATGAAAGACTTCTAATTATCATAGTGGCCGGTCTGGCCGAGCCGGGTTCGATTCCTCCACCCCTCTCGGAGAACCTGGCAAGCTACCAAGAGTATCTTGCCCGTACAGCAAAGCCTGGCAAGCTACCCATGACGTATTCAATATGCCAAGCACAGTAACAACAAGTCTCACAATGGAGATGTTACTAGGCCCACTCGAGCAAATCAATGAACAACAGGAGGACAGTGACAGTGACAGTGATTCTTTTGAAGACCCTTTCTAGATTTGGGCTGGAGCGATAGCACAACGGGTAGGGCGTTTGCCTTGCACGCAGCCAACATGGCCGACCCGAGTTCGATTCCTCCGCCCCTCTCGGAGAGCCCGGCAAGCTACCGAGAGTATTTGATATGCCAGACACAGTAACAACAAAGTCTCCAATGGAGACGTTACTGGGTCCGCTCGAGCAAATCGATGATCAACGGGAGGGCCTTTACTTTACTTTACCTTTCTAGATTTACAAAACAGTTTGTCAAAGAAGAAGCAACTAGAGACTTGGCTTTGACAGTAATAATCACATCACAGAATTCATCTTCTTGTTTGTACAATCAATTGTATATATTAAGATTATATACCTTAAATTTGTATATTCAAAGATGACTGTGATACCTTCCTCACAATGTTATCCTTTAAACACATACAAGTAATGAGCTTGTTAAAATACCCAGACTGCATTTCAGAGAGACTCTCCCCAAATCATAGAAGATACAACTACTGGCCTTTTAACTCTAAGCTTTTAAAAATATTGAGCATCAGGGGCTGGAGCAATAACACAGCGGGGAGGGCATTTGCCTTGCACGCGGCTGACCTGGCTTCGACTCCCAGCATCTCATATGGTCCCCTGAGCACCGCCAGGAGTGATTCCAGAGTGCAAAGCCAGGAGTAATCCCTGAGCATCGCCGGGTGTGACCCAAAAAGAAAAAAAATGTTGAGCATCAGGTCTGATTTATAATAGCAGAGATGTCATTCCAGCAAGATTCAGTGGCATGGGACTGAAGAGATAGAACAGAAAGTAGTGTGTTTTCCTTGCACAGGGTCAATCCAGATTTCATCCCTAGCATACCTTTTTCATCTCCAGAGCCCCAAGGAGTGATCCCTGAGCACAGACCCAGGAGTAAGCCCTGAACGCCACCAGGTATGGCCCCAAAATAAAAACAAAAGAAAAAAGAACCAGTAGCATATCACAGGAAACTTTTTTTATCTTTACTGAGACTATTTCATTTTATTATACTAAAGGTTTTATTGTATTATCTAATCAATTCTCACAACTATATCCCAAACTGAGAATATTTTAAATAGTTTAGATGATTATAATTGATTTTATTTTGTTTGGATTTGGAGACCATACCTAGTATACTTCTGGTTTTGTGCTCAGGGGTCTCTCCTAGCAGTGCTTGAGGGACCATATACAGTACCAGGGAGTAAACTGGGATTAGCCACATGCAAGGCAAGTGCCTTAACCCCTGTTCTATCTATCTGTGTCCAATATAACTGATTTTTTTTTACAGGTCAGCAGACATCCTCCCCTTCACCTTCCTCCATGAGAGGATTATGCTTCTCTAGTCCCTGGAGGTTGGGTTGAGCTTGTGTCTGATTTTTGCCAGCAGAAAGAGTGTATATGACAGTAGGGAGCTTTAAATGTGTTGCTCCATGTCTTGCTTTTATCACTGTCATATAAAGGTATTGGTTGGTGGAAGTGGCTACTCCAGAATAAGGAGTTTATAGAGCACCCTGTTTTTGTTTGGGTATTTTTGTTTGTTTGTTGTTTTTGTGGCACACCCAGCCATGCCCAGGGTTTACTTCTGGCTCTACACTGATGCTAGAGATGGTACATAGATTGATCAACCACAAGCAAGGCTACCTGCTGGACTATCACTCTGATCCCAGTAGAGCAAACTTTGAATGCAAACTGCAGCCTGGCAGTCATGTGAGCAGAAAAGACCTTCAGGGCTATTTACTATTCAGTTTTACAGAAGCAAAATTTTGCTAGTAACAAAGAACCTACCTGGAAATTGTTCTTTACATTGTCATTGTTCTTATATTAGTTTCTGATTCTTTTTTTTTTTTCTTTTTGGGTCATACCCAGTGATGCACAGGGGTTACCCCTGTCTCATGCACTCAGGAATTACTCCTGGCAGTGCTCAAGGGACCATATGTGATACTGGGAATCAAACCTGGGTTGGCCATGTGCAAGACAAAAGCCCTACCCGCTGTGCTATCACTCCAGCCCGTTTCTGATTCTTACATCAAATAAAATAAAAATTTCCAGAAATATCTAAAAGTCCTCTTGGCATCTTCACCAATAACACTACTCCCAAAGGTATCTACCACTGTCGTGCATCGTGGGTCTCTCAAACTCATTATGTATTTTATGTACTTATTTATTTATCTTGGGGTATTTGGACCACACCCACCAATCTCAGAGGCTATTTCTAGCTCTGTGCTCAGTAAAGCATATGCGGTTCTGGAAACCAAAGCGGGACTGGATTCATGCAAGACAAGTACCTTAACCCCAATACTTTCTCTCTGGTCCTTCATGTTAATTTTGAACATTTGCTGTATGTTTAGAGATTCACAGACACTAACTTGTATTGTTCTTTGTATTGTAAGGCTTTATATAAAAAACAAACTGTGTTTTGTTTTAAAACCTGAAGAATCATTTCCCATCTGCCACCACCACCATTTTGGGTCAGATTTATCCATAATCTGGCTCCAGTTTCTGCACTGTCATTACTGTGACACTGTGCAGACACCACAATGCATCCATTCTCTGTTGGTGGACATGGCAGTGATGAAATCCTAGCAGTATTGCAAAGAGCATTCTTGTTGCCTGTAACTTAAGACTAACCTTGCTGCAGAATCAATGGGTTTGGAGGGTATGAATGAATAAACTTCCACAATTTCAACACATGCAAACAGTAAGGTCAGTTCTGCCAAATTGTGCCTCTGTGCTAGACTATTTCACTCATTTATTTATATGTAATTTTCAGTAGTGCCCAGAAACAACTATAGTAATTCAAGTGCTTCCTGTGTGGGATGAACCAGGGTACACGTAGTGCACTCTGAGCCATCTCTCCAGCCACTGTGCCCGACTCTGGCTGGAGCTACTGCCCGGAGGAGCTCACTGTATTGTAGACTTGGGCATCTCTGATTTCCCCTGCTGTTTTCTAGTTATGGGTACCCAGAGATTTACTGGGAACATCAGAATGCACTTTCTGCTGCTCCTTCCATCTCTTACTCCCTATATGTAGTTTTTCCCACTTTATCTCTATGATCATTAAATCAAGTTCTCGGTCAGGACTGAAATGTTGGCAAGAGTTAGGAATATAGGAGTGAGTGAATGACTGTTCAGTTAATCGGCCTCTTTCTTCCTCACACAGCAATTTTTCTAACAGATGCAATTACATTGGAGAGCTGCAGAGAACAAAATCTTATGTTTTATTTCTTTATTCATCAGTTAACAAATGGAACTCACTGTACAATGGAAATTGCCTTTGTAGTTCAATTTTCCAGGCTACAGTGCTCTGAGCTTCAGGTTTTAAAGCAGCTGCTGCTACCACCTTGAATCTAGTGGGTGGGAATCAGCCAGGGAGGGAGATGAAGATATCAGGCAGAATTCATGTAAATTCAATATATTTTTATTCTTTGTAAATACAATGAGTACAACCTTTTAACTTCACAAATCAGTTAATTCACTTTGTACAAGAAAAGTTTTACTCATCCTATGATAGTTCAAGTGCTGAATATTTTTTCTCAGTGCTAGTACCTAATAAATCAAAACATGAAAAGTACAGCAGCTATTTTTAAATGCTTGTTTCTACATTTCCATAAGTATAGATTCATACCAAAGGAGCAGCTTATAGTATAGGATGGTGTGTGTATGTGTGTGTGCGTGTGTGTGTGCATGTGCGAATGTCCACACGCATTCATTCAAGGCTTTACTAGAAACCAGTTTTCTGAAAGGCATTGAAGAGTCTCAATGTTAGCAGTGGACCAAGAAACCTTTTAGCATCCATTCCCATGGAGTTCCTTCTGCTGTGAATGTGTTCACTCTCTGGTGAGACTCGCTGAAACATGCGTTTGGACCCCCCCATTGCCTTTGGTTTCAGCACTGTGCTAATGGGACAGCGATCTGCCTCACTCATTCATCTCCATTTTATTTGGTTTTGCTGTTTTGATTCATCCCCCCTCATTTTTGTTCTTTTTAGTAAAGCTCTTCTGTTTTTTGAGATGTTATCCAACCTGAAGTCTTGGTGATAATCTCATTTTCGTCCACCAATTCCTTTGATAAGGTTGCCTGGCCTATGGTATTCAACAAAAAGAAAGAGAAAAAGAAGGAGAAAGGAAAGGAAAATGATAGAGAAAAAGCAAACCTCACGGCGTCAGCTACCTTTCACTTAGAAAATCGGTTCTGAAGGCCACTTCATGATGCATCACAATAAAAGGGAAACTTTTGATAAAACTCTTGATTAAAAACCTAACATCATTTTAAAAAGAAACTCTGACATAGGATAGTTTTCAAGGCTGCTGCCTGATGTTATACATAGAGCTATATTTATTTACCCAACCTTATAGGCTAAAAAAAGAAAAGAAAAGAACAAAAGAAAATACTACTTGTGTTCCAGCTTCAGTAGTCAGCCTGATCTTCTAGGTAGGTGGTGGGAAGGCCGTTGGCATCCCCCAAGCTGGTTCCCTCCCAGGCCTTGAGTAGCAGTGAGTTGTCTCTGCAGAGAACCTGGGGTGCCCCTTTGCTTTGGGGGCTTCCCTCCCTTTGTAGAGGCTGCAGGTCAAAACTACTGGAAGTGTTTTGTGTCAATTGACATTTTTTTTTTCCTGAAGGCTACACATTCCCAGGTTAGTTGAGGTTTGCTCTCCATTGGGTAGAAGTTCATCTGATCTGTTCCGTCCTGGACAGTGGGGTCTTGGAGAGCTTAGATGTCACTGGATTTGTACATATCTGAAAGCAGTCTTGTGATTGGCACATTGCCAATGGTTTTTTTGAAAAACACTTCTTCTATGGTTGATGGGCTAATAGATCGTAAAGCTGGCAAAAGCAACAGGAGTTTTCCAAAGCGACAGGGTTGAGTGGGATATCTGGAATATGAGAAGCCATGAAAGCAAGGTCAGTCTGCTCTGAATAGGAATATCTCTACCTCAAACACACACTATTTCCAGTATAATTTCCTGATTGGGCCTCCTTAATAATACCGTATTCCTGTAACCAACTTGCAGGCTGCCACTATTGTCTTTGCTTCACAAGTAGGATAATCCAGGCATAGAGAACATAAATGATCACTTGGTAACTGTCTCTCCATACCAAAGAAGTAGCATTTTGAAAAAAATGGGGGTGGGGCATATTGGAGATGTTCAAATGCTACTCCCAGTTTTGTCCTCAGAAGAGCAAGAATGAAACTGGGGTTGGCCGCATGCAAGGGTGCATTATCTCTTTGGTCCCGGTGGGGCGGGGAATTTAGGAAGCATTTTACTAAATTTAGGCCAAATAATACATCTAAGGTTTCTAGTGTAGCAAGCAAACATGGAATTTACCATTAAGCTAGTGAACACACTCATGTTTTTTGATTCTCAAGGCTCTTTCACAAGACCATTTCCCTCACATGAAATGGATTTCTTTTTTAAGTAATTCTCCAAATTACTATTCAGGCTTATTCTTAGTCACTCTCAGGAATAATTTCATCCTTATTGCACTGCATATTAAAGACGTAATTCTGTTGGGTGGCAGTGCCCCCCAACTTTCATGTCAATGAAATTGGCATATAATTAAAGACCTGAGAAATTGCTTAACAATTTCTTCCCTTGATGTCCAACAGACATCTGTGCTCAAATGTGCAAAATTCACATTCAGCTACTTTCAGATGCCTTAAAGTCACCTTCTCCATGTATCTAAAGCTTTTATTGTCACTAGCTTGAACTCAGGTGTGAAGATACTCAAACACAGTGAGCTTCCCCTGGTAACTCATCCTGAAACAGTGAACTCTGGAAACCTATCTCTGCACCTAAGCAAGGCTCAACTCATGGCTGCAAGATGCTAAACATGGACAGATGTTAACTCCCTTCTGTGCATTTCGGTAGCCACATGCCATTAAGCTGCTTGATCACTTGATTTACACCTTCTGCAGAGTCAGGTAAGTAGCTTTCACACTTGTCCCTTAACTTTGGCACATGAGAATCTCCCTCTCTGGGGCTAGGGAGATAGTACATCATTTAGGGCATTTGCCTTGCATGCAGCCAACCTAGGTTTGATGCCCAGCACCCCATAAGTTCTTTCAAGCAGTACCAGCAGTGACCTCTGAACACAGAGTCAAGAGTAAACCCTGAAAACTTCTGGGTATAGTTCAAAATTAAAAAACAAACAAACAAGTGAGTCCTTTCTCTTTAGTCTGATACTAGGGTGATCAACTATTCATGCCAGGCTTCCAGCAGACCAGCTGGGTGGGTTCACAACCCAACTTCATATCCACATATGGACATATAGCCACATATGATTTTTTTAAAATTTTTGGTTTTGAGGCCACACTCAGCAATGCCCAGGGGTTATTCTTGGCTCTGCATTCAGGGATCACTCCTGGTGGGCTCAGGGCACCATACAGGTGACAGAGATCAGCAGCACACAAAGCAAATGCCCTATCTTCTGTACAATCTCTCCAGGCCCTGACCACAGTCCAGACACTTACTGATGAACCATGGAAATAGGGGAGCTGATCTACATTCTAGAACTAACTACCACCACTTGTTCTTCATGTGTATCTCCATCATTTCCTGAGAAACAACCCTAAGGCTCATCTCTCTCTCTTACTTTGGCCTCTTCAGTGATTCTACTTCCCTTCTCAGGATCAGAGGAGAAAAACCTCACAGCAGTGGGAGCCTGTAGCCACCAGGGCAGGTTGTGCCCTGTCTGCAGCGCCCCACTCAAGAAAGTACAGAGCTGAGGAACTATTCTCAGAAGGAACAGATCTGGGGAGACTCTGTTGACAATTAATTCTTGATTTCATATGAATTCATAATCCATTCCCTTACTCACCCATTTACTTAGAAAATGACTGGTTGGTCTGTCCATAAGAATTAATTATCTCTGTGTAGTATTTGTGTTACTCAGAAACAGTTTACAAGGTGGTTATGTATATTTGTGTGTGTAACAGACAGAGAGAGAAAGAGAGAGAGACATACACATGGGGGTGCAGAAAGATGGAGAGAGAGAGACTACCAGTGGAAAAATGATCTTTTAAATCTATGCCCCTGCAAACATTCACATAAATAACTGGGAGTTTTCTCTTGAGGTTTAAGCATAGTGTCATAGTATCATGTATTTGATCTTCAGGCATAACACACCCACATAGCTTGTGTGACATGCCAATTCCTTGCCTTCTCCTCATGTCCTCGTAAATAGCTTACAGAGCTCTAACAATCAGCTCTGCTTGCAATGTGAACAATTAATGTACAATTAGCTCAGTTTGCAATGTTAACTTCTCATTTCAATTTCAGATTTTATTTTTCCTGACAGGAAAGTACTAGAGGAGAATGTTCACTGATTTGAAGGAGCTGGGAAATAAGGCATATCAGTTTTGTCACATGTGTGACTCTAGATAGTAACATTAAATAAGAGCTGTAGCTGATATCATGAAATAAGAATTCCAAGTCAAAGCAGATGAGTTTCTTCCATGAATTAGTTCATTTTAATGGTGACAGAGAAGTATTATTATTGCTGTTTCTCTAAAACAGACTTTAATTTGGGGCTTAATTCTCAGAGGTCCCCGATAAGTGGTTCCAGGCATTTCTGATTCTCCTTCCCCACCTCTCTGGCACCTGGAGCAGCTCCTCCACCAGCACTTCAACTGGTTCACATTGCACCCTCTCTCCCTGTTGAAATCTGACCTTCAAAAAAAACAGCTCATGGGGCTGGAGTGATAGCACAGCGGGGAGGGTGTTTGCCTTGACCCGGGTTTGATTCCCAGCATCCCATATGGTCCCCTGAGCACCAACAGGAGTGATTCCTGAGCGCAGAGCCAGGAATACCCCTGAGCATCACCGGGTGTGACCCAAAAAGGAAAAAAAAACGTGAATATAATAATTCATTATAATATTAAATTTAATAAAGGCTTTATAAAATTATTTTTAAAAAAACAACTCATGGTTTTCAATCAGAGAGATAGTGAAGGGGTAAGGCACTTACTTTGCATATGTTTGACCCTAGTTTGATCCCAGATACCACTTCATATCACCTGAGAACCATCAGAAATGATCTCTGAGCACAGAGGCAGGAGTTAGCCCTGAGCACTGCCAGGTGTGGTCCAAAATAAAACAATCAAAAAGCAAAGCAAAACAACCACAATAAAAAAATTTAAAAACCTCCTCAGAATTTGTCCCCTCCATCATTTAGCCTTTCCAGGTCTTTCCTTTGCTTCTTTCTTTCCATAGTAAGGTCACAGTAATATCTGGTGTCCTACAATACTCATAAGAACCCTGAGTAGAAGATATTCAAGCAAAGGCTTGACTGAATCAATCACCTGAAATCAACTTTTCAGTTTGACATTCTTTATATCTTAATGCCTCTATGTGTTCAAAGTTAATTATGATGAACAACTTAGTCTTTGTTGGGGTGGAAGGGTTGAGGGAAGGCTAGCAAAAGTGCCCCAATTATATGCTGCTCCTTTTTGGACCACATCCATTAGTACTGTGGAGTAAGAGGCTTTCTTGTGAAGTGAAGTCATTTCTTGCAGTACTAGAGATTGAATTAACACCTTGCATGGAAAATATGCATTTCAGCCTTTTGAGCTATCTACCCAGTCCTGTATTGCTCCATTTTATAAATTTTTTGTTCTGTTTTGGGGCCACACCTGGCAGGGCTAAGGGTTTAGTCCTCCTGCTGTGCTCAGGAATCACTCCTGGTGAGCTCAGAGTATTTGTGGGATATCGGGTAGGCCACATCGAAGGCAAGTGCCCTACCTGCTGTACCATGACTCCGACTATTCATTTTATAATTTTTAACAAATATTAAATACCTGCCATATACATTTTGAAACTTACCAATGAATATATTTTAAGCCACGGCATTTTAATTTAAAAAACTGTATATACATGCACTATCAGTCAATGTCATTTTGTTTTGCTATGCCGTAGACAGGAAACAGTTTTATTAATTAGTAGTCAAGGAATATAATAAAAAACAAGAAGATTCTAGCAAAAATGGTATCAGCCCAAATGAAAACCGTTAACTTGGCATTTATCTGATCCCTTAGGTAAAGAGGTATTAACATATTTGGTTTCATTATTTCTAGCACATCTGTGAGTGAGGTTGAGATGATAGATAGAAGCTTCTAGGAGTTCTCCTTTTGGATCAATCTAGAGAATAAATAAGAATAGCAGGGGACCATAGAGATAGTATAGTAGTTAAGGCACTTGTCTTACATGTGGCTGATCCTATTTACCCTACCATAGCAGATAGTCCCCTGAGTACAGAAAGAGATAGCCCCTGTGTACAGGGCCCAGAGCAGCCCCCAAGCACCCAAACCCCTTCCACCAAAACAAGCAAAAACAGCAGCTCTATTATAACCTCATATCTACTAGTCTTTTTATTTGGGGGGTGGGGAGGAAGAGGGAGGGCACACCCAGTGATGCTCAGGGATTACTCCTGGGCTCTGTGTTTAGGAATTACTGTTGGTGGTGCTCAGGGAACCATATATGATGCTGGGGATCGAACCCGGGTTGGCTCTGTGCAAGGCAAATGCCCTACCCCTACTATCACCCTTGCTCCTACAGCCTTAGGAAGATACCAGGGATCTAATAACTTACTTTTTCATCTGGAAATGGAGTCAGAAAGTCTATGTGAGTGGGTTTGACCAGTGGATGAGCCAAGAAGAACATTGCTGGACCTCCAGAGGCCACACATTTCTACTAAGAGACAAGAACATCTGCCAGTGAGCCCTGTCAGCCCATGTAATTAGGTGATACTGGGACTCAAAGAAATGCAACAGACATCTATAGGCAAAGTCGAACAGCAACTATGATAAGGTGAAAGATGGCCTCTCCAAAAGTCCTTTGGTCCTTCCATTTGCTGTTTGCATTCAAAGGAAGGCACTTGCTTTTATTGACAGGATGACTTGGGTGCCCTCTACCATGTCAGTCATAACACATTAGCCTTCATTTTTGACCTTTCCCTACCTGGTCCATTTCCATATGTGTGCAGCTATTTAGATGGGTTGACTCATTCAGCCAGGACTGCAGTAATGTGCCATACAATGCTTTCTTTCACTCTGACAATATAATTTGATTTGTCCTTCTCACCCAACACTGAGAGGTAGGTGAGGACACCGATTCTCACTAAATTAACTGGCTGGCAACAGGATAATTAGTCCCAATGTTTGAACTGGCTTATTACCGCTGGCTCCTGAAAGCACAATGGCAGCAATTTGCTTAAGTACATGTTCAAGGCAAACAAGAGTCACCTGGTGTGGATGTAGCTGTTGAGCGTTAGCTGCGCCTCGTCTTGAAGAGCAGCGATGGCGGCAGCATTCCGGAAACTTCTCAGCTCAGAGCCACTGTGTGTAGGAACTAGAAATGAAGATCAGACACCCATGATCAGGCAGCACAGGAAATACGACTGGGCAGAGTGCCTCTCTCTGGAAGGGGATGGAAGCAGGAGAGCAGGCCGGGTCCCACAACCAGGGAAAATGAGCCCAACCGAGAGAATCAGCTCCCTTCAAAACCCTCGGGGTTACATCTCCTTATTTTGCGTGGGACAATCTGGACAATGAGGTGGCTGTATTAACACTGAGGTGGCTGTATTAACAAGGAGGACCACCTGTGTGCAAGGGGTAAAGGACAGGGATCTGGGTCTGCTCACCAGCTTTGAAAGTGACAATGCATTTTAGACAAGCAAATTCAGTGGCATCTAACCGGAGCTGTCTAAACCGGGCCACCACCTCCTGTAAAGCCTGTATTTCAGAAATGATCTTGTTCAGCTTCTGGGAATCTGTGTTGTCACCGTTCATGCCTAGAATAAAAATATGGAATAAATGCTTTAATATAAAAGCATTTTCATGATTTAATATTGATTTTTGACAAAATCCTGCATATCAATATCTATTCAATTGTCACGCTCAGATATCTGATCCCATGTAAACTGGCTATATTGTATGAAAGTTAATATAAAATCTTCTCTTGGATGATAACAAACACAGTAATTTGCATTTAAATAACAATGCAAGCAGTCATGAATACAACAAAACAACATTATTTGCATTTAAATATAGATTTATAAATGACAGGTATACTCTATTGTTCAGCAGGAATTTGTTATTCTTTACATGTTGTTCTTTTTTCAGTAATGTATTTTTATGGTAATTTCTACAACAAAGTCATTAAATTGTGCAATTCTTACCAGATACAGCCAGTAGAGTGTTAGCATCAACCGGAATGGCCCATTGTGCTATTCCTAGAACAAACAGTTCTCTCCAAGCATCTTCCAAAAGCATCAGCTGTCATACAATAGATGTATAATATAATATAGTGTGTAATTTATAAATTTATAAACAATTTCAATATGTAAATTTCCATTATTTTAAAAAGAGTTTCAAATGCCCGTCTTGGTCATTTTCCCTTTGAATATTCTCTCTCCTTTATTTTCCCATATTTTTCTTTTTGTTAAAGGTGCTTATAGATAAATACGTGCTTTGGGGGCTAGCCATTCTAATTCCACAAACTTCATTTCCCCTGAAAAAGGATTCATTCTTTTGGTCTTAGCATTTGTTTCTGACCACCTAGAACCTTTGCCCAAGACTCAAGCTCTATGAAATACCAGCAGGAGCTCAGCAGGTGGGTTTTCCTTATAGAAAATACTCATATTATCAAGGTTAGAATTCCAGACTAAGCCTGGTGATCTGGGCCCCATCTTCCTGGAGAGCTGAGTGGGCTGGGGAAAGAGAGAGAGACAGAGAGAGAGAGAGAGAGAGAGAGAGAGAGAGAGAGAGAGAGAGAGAGAGAACTAATTCCCAAGAGGCATTCAGGGAAATCAGGGTGTAATTATGTTAATCAGGTTTTGCTGAGTTTACCTCATCTCACTGCCTGATTTTTCTGAGACTCATAAGTGGACAGCATCAAGGTGCTTGTCATTTTTATTCTAATAAAAATGTGCTACTGAATATTTAAAATGAAAATGTGGCTCCTTTTCCAAATTAATATACTGGATACCACTTCACCACAGTTTACTTGTTAAAGGCTTCCACCAAAAGCTAAGTGGCAGGCAGTAAGAAAATTTTGTTTGAATTAAAGAGTCTTTACAAATACTTGTTCTGAGGAAAAAATAGCCAACACACACACACACATACACACACACACACACACACACACACACGGTGGTTGACGATAACTAGTAAATCTGATCAAAGAGAAAAGTCTAAAAAATTTTCTGAAAAAATCCTTTAAAAAAAAAACAGTGAATTGTGGATTTTTGTGAAAGAATTTCATTTTGGGACCTAAATTGAATTATGAAGGTTTGTGACCAAAAGCACAGGTAAACAAAGGTTTTGTTTTCCAACACTTTGTTTTTAGTTTTAATTAATTAAATATAGAAAACAAAAATTTTAAGTGCAGGATAAATGATAGCTAGGTCTGGTCATGTCTACAAGCCCACAAAAAAAATATTCCAGACTAAATTAAATGTTTTCAGCATATTGCCAGTTCTCTCTGTAGGAAACATACTTCATATTAAGGGGCACTATTATGCTTTAATTAGGTATAAAATGAATTAAAGAAACAAACCCTTTGCTTTCAGAGCTACTTATTAGTCTTTTGGGAAATTTGTCATTAGTTTTTATAATACATCAGTGTGAGCCAATGGCTCTGAATATTTCATTTTCCTTCTTTCCCTTAAAGTCAGAAAAATTCTTGATGGAGGTCATTACTGATGTTCCTGGTAACAAGACTTCTTGGTTAGGTGCGGTGCAATTTTTATCAGCATATCTTAACTCCCTCTGAATACAATTTACAGTCACAGAATTATGCACTATACCTATCTGTTTATAAAATTCCCAAAAGCACTCAAAGAAAGGAAGGTAGCAAGCTTGCAGAGCTATACTGTGTACCCCTTAATTCTATATGCAGAAAATCAAATGGCTAACCTTGAGTATCACAATGAAAAACAACAATGAAGCTGCAAATATAAGATAATACTCTCATCTCCTATCTTTCTCAGCTTCCAGGATCTTAAGAAAATATTACTGGGCTGGAGAGATCACTCAATGGACCAAGTACATGCTTTGCATGCAGGAGGCCCAGGATTCATCCAGGCACCACCAGGAGTGACCCCCTGCTTCCCCAACCCAGCAGAGGACGTGGAGGAGTCCCATGAACACCACTGAGTAAGGACCCCAAAACCAAAAAAGAAAATATTGTTTTATTAGCAATTTTAAAATAAGTATTGTTAAATTTTGTGATTAAATTTGATGTCTCAGTTACATTTTTTTAAAAAGGGGGGGAAACATTCTTATATGTTAATTCTTCATATGCCATATCCAGCTTCCTGAAAATAACACAATTACATTTCTTAGTAAGGACTCCATGCAAGATATTTTGAACCCATAGGAAGAAGCTTCGAAAATAATTTTCTCATTGTTGTCTAGAATGGTATTTGGTCTCCAAGGGCCCCTGGTACATAAAGCTATGGTCTTTCTTTCCCAGCACCCTGCTCCCACCCCCCGAACTCACTGCCCTCCTGTTCATACCTGGTCCTGCAAGGACAGCGTGGAGAAAGCAGGCACACTCTTAGCCCACTTGATGCTCATAAACAGGAGCCTGGCAGCAGACTCACACACAGACTCTGTGGCCACCTCATAGAGATACATTGGGGTCCCATTCACTTCGTGGGGGTACTAGGCAGGAAAGAAGAGAGAGAGAGAGAGAGACCAGGGAGTGAGGAAACCACACCCCTGCAAGAAGAGCAAACTTACATTTTTTCATTAGGCAGGGTGCGAGGCTGAATGTGGTTGCTGTGGAATCATGCAACCGCCATAGGCTGATGAAAGACAAATATCACTATCTACAGAGTTTGGGAAATAGTCGTTGTTGGGAGAGGCCCATATCCTCTTTTGGGGGGGGACTTTTCCTTTCAGGGGGACATCTGGCTTTTCTCTCCCCTGCAGTAAGTGTTCCCTGGGCTGCACCCACTGGCAGGCCTATCTCCAAATGTAGACAAGAGCTGCTTACATTTGTGTAAATAAAAATAGATGTGAAAAAAGTATAAATTAATAGGCATCCCAAACACAAATATGCATATGAGTATTTTTAGAAAGGATTAGTATATTATGGAAATATTTCAATTAGACATCTTAATCATTCACAGAGCACTCCCATTCATAACTGACAACATATTCATAACACTACTTTCCCAAGCTTATTATACACATCAAGGGTAAGAAAGCAATATTAAATATTGTGCGTGTGCGTGTGCCCAGGTGTTTGGCTTCCCTGCAGCGTGGGTCTGCAGCTGGCCCTCCTCTGGGGGAGATCCTGCGCCCTTCTGGGTCTCGAGTGGGGGCTCCGGGTAGGGACAGGCAGAAGCCTAGAGGAGAGAGTTCCGAGGGAATTGGCCTTTGAGACCGTTCAAGCTTTGGCCCTGTTCCTACTGGCTCAATCCTCAACATCCTGGGATTCAGGAGTGAGTGAAGGGAGAGTGGAACATGAGGGCAGCTTCTTCAAACTGTTGCTAACATGCTGAGCCTAACCTTTCTTGCATTAGGGACCCACAGTTTGCTCAAGAGAAAAGATGCCTGGGATGGGCAACTAAGGGGCTCTTCTGCCTGTCTATAAAAAACAAATGTCTGGGCTGGAGATAGGTAAGGCATTTGCCTTGTATGCTACTGATTCTGACTCTATTCCTGCACAGCTGAGAGTGAGTCCAGAGCACAGGGCCAGGAAAAAGTCCTGAGTACCGTCAGATGTTACCCAAAACCCAAAACTAAAACATAAGCAAACATGAGATATAGTACAGCGGGGAGTGTGTTTGCCTTGCATATGAACTACCCAAGTTTGATCCCTGGCATCCTATATGTTCATCAAAGCCCCACCAGGACTCATTTCTGAGTGCAGAGCCAGGAGTATCCCCTGAGCATAGCAAGGTGTGGCCCCCAAATAAAACAAAACAAAAAATAGAATAAAATAAAATTAAAAAACAAACAAACATCTGCTCCTCTGGCCTCCTAGAACGAACGTGTAGGCTGGCTCTCTCTCAGACTGGGTTCCAAACTAGGAGCATTTCTCCAAGTTGCGGGTTCCCAGCACCCAGCTCAAGGTCGCTGGGAGAGATTCCGGGTTGAACCCTCAAGTCCACCCGCCTACCTAGGTCAGAGAGTGACAAGCTCACACTCAACTGTCAACGCTCCTGGCTCAAAGGAGCAAGATGCCTCTGCAGAGCCACGCAGGCAGGACCCCACTCCCGGCCTTGCCACCTGCTGTCCGACACAGCTTTCAGGTGCAAAGGCCGCGACCTCCTCTCTATCCTCTCGGCACGCGTCTCCTTGGGGCCCCTGCAAGGCGCCTGACCTTGGGCGTGGGCTGAGCGAGGCTCACGAGGGTCTGGCGCTCGGGCGTGGCGGACACAGCGGCCAGCTCCAGGCCGTGCGGCTCCAGCTGCGTGACGGCTGTGAAGAAGGCGGGCGCGGGCAGCGCGGCCGAGGGGAAGTGCGCGGCCGCCCCGTTCTCCTCCTTGTGTCCTCGGAAGTAGAGGGCCACCTGCTTGCGGATGGTGGACGTCCGCGGCCCGCGCTCGTGCTGCACGGCTGCAGAGACAGGACGCACGTCGGGGGTGGGGGTGGGGGCGGGGGATGGGATCGTCGCAGCCTCCGCCACCCTCGGCCACCAGCCACCGGCCACACCACGCATACCTGCACCGGCCAAGGCACCCCGGGGAGGACAGAGAGGGAGGTGGAGAGAGGGGGCACGGATCCTGCATTTGGAAGCTGAGGCCAAGAGGTGGAACCCACGGGTGAGGAAGAAGTCAACCCGCAGGCCAGAGTAGCGGGGCTCGGGGCTCCTTCCCAGCCAGGTAGCTCTTGGGGAGTCCAGACTCCTGGCGGGAGGAAGTGTCCTAGCCCGCGCCCCGCGCGCCCGCCCGCACCGCGGCTCTGTACACTCGCGCCCTGTCGCCCGTCGCCTGTCGCCCTCACGACGGCTTCCTCCCCTTCCAGCTGCCGCCCCAGCCCTGGATGGGTATTTGGACTCTGAGATCCCCTGCAGAAAAGGACCCGAGCAGGGATGGGGGGTCCGGAGATGAGGTTGGGAACCTGCTGGGGGTTAGCATTCAGGGAAGCCCATCCCCAAGTGTGCAGGAGGAAGGCAGGGGAGATATGACAATTACCACCAACAGTTTCAACAAACAAATTAATTCAGGGCAATCTTCCGCTCCTGGAGCTTGACAACTTGTCAATACACACGTTCAACAGGTCTCCGGCTCCCTGCCGAAGCGGCTCCCTTCCTACTCTCCCCCCACACTTGCGCGCCTTCGCCACCTGCCATTGGGCCCCGAGGCGGGCCAGCCTAAGCCCCCATCTGCGGCCAGTCCTGAAGCTCCCTGCACCCCCCGGCTCCACTTGGACTGCTCGCTCAGCATTTCCTAGTTGTCCACGGGCCCCGAGCACCCCTTGGCTCACTCCTCCTCGCCAGCAATTTTCTGCAGAACCGAGGGAAGGGCCTGCAAAGGCCCAGAGTGCTGCATCGGTCGGACGAACCAGTTCTTGGAATATGCATCGGGTCAGCCCGCCCTCCTCCAGCATCCCATTATCTTCTGCCCTCGAAAAGATACCGCAGAGTGCAGAGTTCGAGATCCTGTGTGCAGAGTGCGAGATCTCGAAGAGTGCGAGATCCTGCAGGCAACTTGCCATGGTAGGAAGCTGATCACCATGCGGTGAAGGAAAATTAGGAGAGGGGCAGACAGGATCTTGTGCGCAGGCTCCCCAAAGTGCGGGGCGCGCTGGGGGGGGGGGGGGCGGGGGTTCCCGAGAATGCTGCTTTTCCCGGGCGGATTGTGGGGGGCAGCACGTTTCCTGGGTGGGCCTTGCTGGGAAGGTCTGAGGGGCCGGTGCAGAGAGGAAAGGAAGGCTACGACTGACTGCCCGAGGACAATTCCCAGCATCTGCGAAGAAGCGCCGGGCGTAGATGATTGACATGCATCAGCAGCGTGCATTTTTCTGTATATATAATTTACTTACTACTCAATCAACATTAGAGAATAAAAGGGGGTCCTTATTACCATCTTTGTTCATGTTGACTTCCAAACACTTCTTCAGCCGACACGCCCTGCACTGGTTTCGGTGCGTCTTGTCCACGGGGCAGCCTCCCTGGAACAGAGTGCATATGGTCAGACACCCAGAGGCTTCCAGACATGGGGGACTGGGGTCTCGACGGGCGGGGTCGCTGGGCCCGGGGAACTGGCGAGGAGCCGGGTGCAGAGCGCCCAAGCCCTCCCTGGGAGCAGCTAGCCCTGATTCACTAACCAGGACCTTAGCCAATAGCACAGTCAAGGCAAAGGCAGGCTGGAGATCCCGGGGCGACCCTCCAAGATGGCCAGGCTGAAACATGGAAGAGGACAAGAAGGAAAAGTCCTTTCCTCAGAGGAAGTCGGTCTGGAGGCCCTAGGCAAAGTTCAGAGGGGACAGTTCCCCTCAGGATGCCCGCCTACAGCTACCAGGGTTGAAAGGACTGTCTTTTCAGGACCTAAGACAGCGACCTATCACATTCAAGGAAGCAGGGGTGCGCGGTTGGGAGCCAGCAGGTCCTCCCAGATCCCCGCCAGGCCCCCTTGCTGCCAACTCTTCTGAGTTCAGGTCTCAAGTTTAACTTCTTGGGTCATTGATCTGCCTGTTACATTGCCCTACACTGGCCTTGAAACTTGCAGTCTGCTCTAAAGTTGTCTCCAAGACTAGCCTCAGCCCAGAGTCCTAGAAACCACAGCCAGTCCCAGAGGTGAGGCAGAAACCAGGGAGGCAGGCCGGACACCTGAAGGGTGAGGGTGGGAAGGGAAGAGGCCCAGGTCTGAGCAAAATGTAGAAATAGTCACCAAACCAAATATGGCCAGGAAGAAAATTCAGTTGCTTGTCTGACAAAAATGGTAATAGGTTCTGAGACTAATTAAGCAAAGGGGTAATTTTTGTCTTAAAAATATTTATTTGAAGGGGCTGGAGTGATAGTACAGTGGGTAGGGCGTTTGCCTTGCACACATCTGACCCAGGTTTGATTCCCAGCACCCCAAATGATTCCCTGAGCACCGCCAGGAGTAATTCCTGAGTGCAGAGCCAAGAGTAACTCCTGAACATTGCTGGGTGTGACCCATAAAGCAAAAAAAAAAAAAAAAGAGAGAGAGGAAATTTAGGGGACCAGAGAAATAGTACAGGAATGAGGTGCTTGCCTTACATGTGGCCATCCCTAGTTCAATCCCAGGCATCATATATGGATCCCCAAGCCTGACTAGGTAGGAGGGATCCCTGAGTACATGAGTACAGAGTGAGTAGTAAGTCCTAAGCACCCTCAAATAAAAAGGGGGAGGGAAGCTTACAGTGAAGGTTTTTATGGAATTTTTTTCTGTAATAATAGGTGTTACTGAAGGAACATATACATCGATACAGAGAGTCACATCTATGTAGGTGTATTACACACAGACAGACACAAGGAGTTTGCTACTTCCTGTGTATGTATGAATTGCTATTTAGTGTTACACTGCAGTGGAACTGAAATTAACTAAAATTAATATATTTCATTTTGTGTTGTAATCTATCTATCTAAATATTCTGATGTTGGAATGATTATGTTTTCTAAAATGTTCCTTAGGAAAGAAATCATACACTGGAAAGATAGTTTTAGGCTACTATGCCTTCTGGTTTAAAATTATGTTGATTTATTTAAGACAAAAATAGGACAGAAGGTTATAACAATTTATAACTGTCCTCATTAGCATTCATAATAAACTATGATATTGTTTACCTAATATTAGATAAAAGAGAGAAAGGAAATAATCTTTGCACCCAAGTAAATTCTTCAGGACATTAAAATAGAAGTTTGACACCAGGGACAGAATCCAGGGACTCAGGCATATGGGACAGAAGCTCGACCACTAAGCCACATACACTTCAGGGCATTTTTTTTTGGGTTAACATAATAGTTTAACATAAAGAAATTTAAAGAATTCATTGTTGATGCAGCGTTCAGTCTTCTCAGAATTTATTCTTCTAGTGTTCTGACAAACAGGTAAAATGGAAAATTTCACTAGTTCTTTAGAGTGTCTTCAAATCAGATCATATGCATATAAATTTCCAGAGCCTGAGAAAAAGATGAGTGCTTCAGATAGTCCATTTATTCTCTCTTCAAGGAGAGGACCACCAAGACTGATGAGTCTATTATCACTCCTTTACAAGTACTTGGACTGACATCAGTGTGTTTGAATTGATAGCTAACCCCTTTGAAAATATCAAGAATAGCCTTTGAGATGTTGATTCTCCAATGTTGTACATTGCACCAATGTCAAAGATAACTGGAAGAGAAACCTGCTCCAAACTGGTGGCCCACAGTAATCCAACAGTCCTGTGCAGTTAAAAGGTATGAACATGATTGTCCAGATGGTGCAGCATAAACATGACAGTTAACAGGGCTGTAGAGTTCAAAATAATGCATCCAAATGCAAATCTCTTCTGTTTGCTGTTAACCCAAATCTACCAGAAACTGATATGAGGGACTGAGAGATAGAACAGCGAATAAGGCTCTTGTCTCACATGCAGGGTTACCTGGATTCAATCCCCAGTAATCTATGGGGTCTACTATGATCGCTAAACACAGAGCCAGGAATTAGCGCTGAGCTAATTCCAGGTATGGCACAAAACCAAGAAGAAAAGGAAGGAAGGAAGAAAAACAAGGAAGGAAGAAAAGAAGGAGAGAAATTTGCATGAATTGACAAGGCTTCAAAAAACAGAAGCTAGAATAATTCACTAACATTATGTGTACGAACACATGCATACTATGTAATAATAGAACATACTAACATAATTAAGCATTTTGCTTACAGACAATGACTTCTGACTCATGCACATGTTGGGGATTTGGGGAGGAGTCCAGGTAGAGATGTGTGCTGAGGGTTTGCATACCTGGCTAAGGAGAGGGCAAAGTATAGGGGCTGGAAGGCTGATTTTCTAGCTAGAAATAAAACTGTTACTGGTAGGAAAGTGAGTCTGAGGAGCTATGATGACTCTTTCTGGAAGCCTTGGCTCACAATCACCCATGCCAAACCCAACCTCCCAGCACATCTTCTAAGCAGAGAGAGAGGAGGAAGTGTGTAGAAGTTTCCCTCAAAGACTCATATTTCTTGGGTACCTTCTCTTTCTCCCCACACTGCCCTTTTCTGATGAGGCCAAGTAAAGTCTTGTGGGTGGGGAAGTCCCATTTCCAAAGAAACCCCACATTTTTTTCTCCAGAGTTGATAGGACTCAGTCCCTCTCCACACTCTTCCTTTTCCAAGAGGTCCAAAGCCTTTTGCTTCTGCCATTCATGTAATGGTGGGGTCCCTATGCGTGGGTGCTGCTAGGAACAAGATGGGCAGGCAGGGAGCAAAAAAATATATATTCCTTTGCTACATATGATTTAGATCAGAAGTTCCTCCAGGTCCCCCTGGGCCGGCTCTATGCCACTGGTAGAGTGTGGGTCTTGCACAGGGTCAAAATCTCAGATGATTAAGAAGGGGGGGGAGGGGTGGATGTAGGGACTTTGAGATCACACATTTCCTCCTGCAAACTCCTCCACCTTCCCTTCCCCTGGTCAGTCTTTCCCAAGCTGATGGCCTCACAGTTGAGGCCGAAAGAAGGAGAGAAAATAAAGGGAGCCTAACTCCTCAGCTAGCAAAGTCAGAGGACACTGGGCATAAACAAAGCAGGGGGAGGTCAGGGAGAGGAGCCCGGCAGCTTGACCCAGACCACAGTACCTGGTTTCCCGATTTGCAGACATAGGTCCTATTCCTTCGGATGCTCCGTTTGAAAAACCCCGAGCAGCCGTCACACGCGTAGACCCCGTAGTGTTTCCCGGAGCTGCGGTCGCCACACACTTTACAGGGGATATCTAAAATTCGGCCTAAAATCGCAGGAGAGACCGGTGGGGTGGGGGGTGCGGGGAAGGGACCAGGAGAAAAGGAAGGCGGAGAGGAGGGAGGAGAGGGGAGAGGGAGAGAGAGAGAGAGAGATGCTAAGCAATCTGACCTCTGAAGGGATTAGCACCGGAGCTGCGGTAAAAGCAAATAATGAAGTGATTTTATAGCCAAACTTTTTTTCCTTGAGCAAGTGTCAGTTTCCTACAATGAGCATTATTCATGCACCGCTACATGTATTTGGGTCTGCTCTAATCGCTGAGACCCATTTCGGAATAAAAGATTACAGCAGACTGGGGCGGCAGCAGGCCCCGCCGCCGCTGCCTTTCTGCTCCGCGCAAAGTTGAGCCGCCTCCCTCCCCCGCTCTCGCTCGGAACAGAGAAAGTTGTTAGCGAGCGCGCGAGGAGACAAACTTGAAATGCAAAAAGGAAAAGAAAAACAAACACGGCTGGAACCAGGAATGGCAGCTGGAAGGCAATCGAGTTTTCTCCGCGCTGCCCGGCGGTTGTTATTATTAGGATTATTATTGTAATGCTAATAGTAGGATTATTAATGATAATAAGGGGAGTGCTAATTGCCCAACTTTCGCTTTACCTATTTAAGAAGATTTTTGGTGGATTGCCTTTGAGAAATGATTTCTTTTAGGAAAAAAAATTTTTTTCTCCCCAAAGTAACTAGTACAGAGTTAGGGGTGCGAAAAAGCAGGTTGGCACGGGTGGGTCTCTGTGTACCCCTCCAACACTCTCCAAGTTTTTCTTCTCTACAGGTCTGCTCCAGTCACCACTGTGTGTGTCTCTCTCCCATCCTGTTTTTCTATCGCTGTGGGAGGCAGCTTTTTCAAATGCTCTCACTGGTCCCTAGCTGGGTCCCTACCCCCATAGGCCTTTACTATCACCAGGTTTAAGAGAACTTTTCCCCAGCCGAATGGGATGTGGCTGCTGCACCCGGAGACATACTGGGGGGTTCCGGGCAATATCCCAAAATTCAGAGCGTTGGGAGGTGTTTTCCTCTAAGATTCAAGAGTCCTAGAAACTGTAGCAGTCCCTCTGGACTTCGAAATCCTCCCCCCCCCCTCCGCAAACAGAGTAAATCACTGAGTCTTCGCATAATTAAGACTTTAATGATGAGGAGGAGAGTTAATAATATGAACTAATAACAATTAACTTCTGAACATTTCCATTTCCCGCCTCGACCCGACCGAAGGCCTCCCAGCTGGGCTCCCCGCGACCTCCGCCTTGAGGGAAACTCGACAGCTGCTTCCCCAAAACGCTCGCGTTGGGGACCGCCACACGGCTGGGGTGTGGAGAGGAGAGGCTGGGCAAGACACGTCTAAAGCAACGGGGTAGGGGGAGGCGTTGGCGCGGTGCGGGAGGCCCCCACCCCACCCCCGGGCGTCAAGGGTGGAAACTTGAGGGTGGATCTCAAGGGGTCAGGGTGGACTCGCGCCCCCAGCCGCGGCCTTGAGTGGTGGTGCAGGGAGACCGCGGGAGGAAAGGTTGGGGAGGGGACACGGGAACGACCAGGCCCGACGGCCTGGGTAATTACAAGCCCGCCACAGCACCTGCCTATAGAGCCACCAGTGACCCGTCAAAAAGAGTAGCATGGGAATTCGGACGACGACAAAGGCCGGCGGGGGAGGCGCGCAGAGCGGCCACCAGGCCCGGGCACCTCCCTCCCGAGGCAGGATGGGAGGAGAAGTGGTGCTGAGGAGAAGAAGGAGCTGGGGAGAGCCCGGAGAGGCCACCGCGGGTCTGGTCCCTTGCCCCCTGGAAAGGACAGTAGCAGGGTTCGGTGCTCCGCGGCTCCGCGCTACTTCTTGCAGCAGCGCGCTGAGTTTCCACAGTGCGCATCTTCTCGCCTCTGCAGAACGCACGCCCTGCGGTGGCTGCACTGGGTTTCCCGTCTGGGGTCTAGCCGTCCTGTCGCTCAGCTTGTCCTGCTCTTCCACCCTCAACTTCCCTTGACACGCTGGGTGACGCCAAGGCGAGTGCCTGGAAGGCGCGGAGGTGGTGTTCACTCCGACCCGTAGACAGGCCAGACACGCACGTCTCCGATTGGGGTGGACCAGTGAGGGGTGGGGGTGGGGAGGATAACCCTCCTTGGGCTCCTGGAGGCGGGGCTCTGACACGTGCCCCCCCCCCAGGCCCGACTGCAGTGCGCCCCTCCTTCCGTTGCAAATTCCGAGCAGCTGCTGCCCCCCACCCCAACTCCCGCGGTGCGAGCCACGGGAAAATTCCGGGGCAGAGAGGGCCTGCGTCTCAGGCTGCCACCCCAGACACGTTAAGGTGACTTGGGGTCACGGTGCGATCTGGTGGGCCCGGTTGCAAAGCTCTGCGGTGGGCTGCCGAGCAAACTCTGACTGGAGGAGAGCGGAGCTTCCTGGGGCGGGAAAACCGCCCTTAACTTCCCTCCCCAGGGGCTCCCCTGGGGCTTTTTGTGTGTCATAATTGCCTAAAGATATATGGCAGCTTCAATTACTGTAATTACCATCAGAGGCTGTTGAAAGAAGTTAGTTGGGGCTGCAGGGGTGACTGGCCGGGGTCTGGTTACCACCCAAGCGGGACTGCCGAGTGACACGGCCCTGCTCTCCCGCCGAGCCAAGCCGAGTCCGCCGGGCGTCAGCAGACGGCGCGACCCTGCTGGGTGCTGACCTCGCCCGCCGCCGGGGGACTGGACTCCGGTAGATTCGGCCAGACTGCCGCCACCCGTCTGCAGAGTTCTAACCCAGCGGTGTGGCCCCGGGAGGGGGGTCTGCTGGCTGGTGGCAGGGGCCTCCCACCTGCACCAGGGCTCTTAGGCTTCTGAGGCCCAGTTCAGGCTCTAGGGAAATCGGAGGCTCCAAAGTCTTCCCTCCAACCCCAAATGACTCATTGTGCCCTTTCCCCTGAAAGTTAGAGGGTCCAGAGAGTTTTAACCCCACAGAACACGGGGGTGCAGCCTCCAGCTCTCAGCCTGGCCCTTTCCTCCTTTCCAAGGCTCTCGCTTTGGGTGCTTCCCGACTTCACTCCTCCCACTGCAGACAACAGCCGCGTCTCCTTCCTGGCTTCCAGGGAAGGAAGGAGGGCCTGTCACAGGACAACCGAGTCTGGAGTGGGGGTGAGAGTTGGGGGGGGTGCTCTGAGGCCCGCAGGCTTTGCTGTTTTGCATCAGAAACCTGAAAGCAACAGGAAAGGTGTTCTCTGCCGCCTGGTCTCCTTCGAAGGAGCTTCATAGGAAAGATCCTGGCCGCTAAAAGCAAGGGGGAGACCCATCAGCTGCCAGGAGCCGCATCTGCAGGGCCGCGTAGGCCCAGGCTAATTGGTGACTCCAGTCCACAGCCATGGACTCTGCATTCCAGCCAGGTTAAGGTTCCTGCTCTCCTCCCTCTGCTCTGCTTCTACACAGCTCTCCTTTTCTTTTCGTGCAAGTGTATTTTTTATCTCTGTAATTTTTAAAAGCAGCTGCGCCCACACCACAACATACGGACCAAATGAAAACCTTGAGGTGAATAAGGGAACACATCCCTCTTAAGCACGACTTCATTATAAGTCTTAAGAAGTATCTTGGACTCCCCAACTTTTCAAACACTAGGGCACAATATAGGCAAGTGAGGTGCGTGTTAGGGGATGAGATTGGGGGTTTGGGGGAAAGCACTGATCCACCAAAATGCCACCATGGAAAAACTACAAGGGCCCATGGGAGAAGTCCAGGATATTGAGAGAAGGCAGGGTCCACCCCCTGCCTTGAACCCTGAGAATTGGCAGCCTCTGGCCACCGGAGGGCAGGAACTGAAATTCCCCCAGGGAGATGCCAGCTATGCAGGTCACCAGGCCCCGGTGCCAACTCGGGCCTGCAATAGAGCCGGGTTCCGCAGGCTCTTGTGCATGCTGGATTCGGGACCCAGCACTGCACTCCCTAGCTGCGGGTGGTTACAAGTTAGCCATGAACCTGATTTACCAGGGAAAGCCAAGAACTAAGGAAGTTTGAGGGAGAGAAGTGCTGCAAAGAAGCCAGGCCTCACACTTCTGCCTCTGCCTAGTTCTCACTTGCGGGGTTGGTGTGGGTTGGGGGGAAAAGACTGAGATGAGGAATTCGCTCCTTTTTGTTAAAGCGGGTCCCCATACTTTAAATTCCCCAGTTATGACCTACGCGGATTAAGGAAAATGTGACTTTTAAATGGTTTCTGCTCTCCTAGTTTGCAGGATTATTTGAGAGAGCTAGAAACGGGGTGCAAAGCATTCCATTCAAAATCCGCTTTGCGCAGAGTTGCTTTTGCGCGCCCGAGCTGGGAGTTTGGAGCAGCGGTTCCCTATGGCTGCAGTGCGAGCTGCGGCCTAGTTCCCGCCCCTGGCGCTTCCCCCCTGGCTCCCCCCCAAAACTCCTCGCACCTGGAGGCTAAGTAGAGGCCCCTCGCAGCCTCGGTGGGTTGCAGGAGTCGCGACCTGCCCCGGAACCAGGGAGAAAGGGGAGGAAATCAAGCAATGCTGGGTGCACCAAATTGTTCTTCCCTCCCTACGAAACGCCCGGACTCCACAGTGGAGCAGGAGCTGGGCGAAAACACACGCCGCTTGAGTTCCTCTTGCGGGTTCGCCGACGCAGCGCTCGCGGCAGGACCACCAGGGCCTCCCCGCACGCCCGCTCGCCCGCCCCAGTTTGCGCGCCTGAGCCCCGCGGCGGCCCGAAAGGTACCCACTTGTTGATCCGGCGGGCTTGCTCATGCTGGCTGTCCCGGGGCGGAGCGGCTGGTGGGCACCGCCGGACTCCCGGCCGGCAGCGCCTGCCTCCCCGCCGGGCGCCGCGGCTCTCCAGCCGCCCTCCAGCCTGCGGAGGTTCTGGGGCAGGACAGGTGGGTACCGGTTGCGCGCTACGCCGCTCCCCGGACACTCAGAATTCGTTCCACTGTGGCAGTGTAGGCATCCTTAAGTTTCTTCCCGGCTCTTGCAAAACCGCAGCTGCTGGGAATGTCGCTTGATACCGGACACACGCGTGGACAGACAAATGGAGAGACAGACAGGCGGCTGGAGGACGAAGGGAAGGGAGAGCAAGGAAGGGGGTATGGAAGGACAGAGATGGAGGCACGGAGAAAAAAAAAAAGGTCTTCCTAGAGAACAAAAAGGGCAAAACCCCTCTCTTTTCCCATTCCTGGTCTCCGCCTTCAGCGTCAGGAAATGCGGAGTGTGGACAGCGCTCCGCAGACCGCCGGTCCTGCAGCAAGGGAAGGCGAACGCGCGCTCAGGCTCCGGCCGGCAGGCTGGGCGCTGGCCGACCCGGGCGCGGGCTAGGAAACTAGATCGCTGGGAAGGCTTCCGAGGGAACCGGCGGCCAGGTCCGGGATTCCGGGCACAGCCGCACACACGGCGGCAAGGGGTCCCAGAAGTTCATTACCCCGTGACTTTGTGCCTGTCGCTGCGGGCTGGGTCCCCTGTAATATCTCCAGAAGCTCTCTGACAGGCAGCCGCGGGGAGGGGAATAGGGCGTCCCTGGCCCACTTAGCTTTTCCCCCAACTCCTGGCGGGGTCTGACGTCAGCCATGTGCGGGGAGGGGATGGGAAGAGGGAGGGGGTTAAATGCTAATGATATTAATGAACCTCCAAGCGGCTCCCAAGGAAAATGCAGGCGCTCTCTCAGCTGACGAGTCCCAGAGCGTGAGCCTGGGAGTGTGGCTCTGTGCACGCATGATGGTGAGGACCGTATAGCTCTTGTAATAAAAATGAAATCTGATATTTCGGGACCAGGTGGAAGTGGGTGAAAGAAATAGAGCTTTCTCAACAAGCGCTGGCCTCCTTCTCTGCCGAGTGCCAGACAGATATGTGGAGAAAACTGGGCGGCGGTGTGTGTGTGTGTGTGTGTGTGTGTGTGTGTGTGTGTGTGTGTGTGTGCGCGCGCGCGCGCGCGCGCGCGCACGCGGCTCTGCCCGCTACGGTCAAGTGAATGGGTTCTTTCTAGGTCCCGTGCCCCTTCTGATGGGTAAAACTTGGATCTGGCCCGAGGTGAGTAATGATTCATTTTGCAACTATCTGCGGAAAGTTAGAGCTGAGTGTGCTTTGTGCAGACTCTCGCTCGACCTGTGGGGCGGGGGACCGGGGTGGGTGATAGGCCAGAAGCTGCAAGCTCCCTGTACCCGTGGCTTTGGTGCGGTTGGTTTACTCGGGAGGACGCTTGCAAAGCCCCGCTTCTCAAGGCAAAAACCCGTGGGGGAGTGGGGCGAAGCTTCTGATGTTTCCAAGATCGGCATTAGAAAGGCTGCAGAGTGGATATTTTTCTTTTCTTCCTTCCGCAGCAGCTTGTCCCCAGTGGCTTCTCTCCCTCTCCTAGACCAAGGCATCCGCCACCGTCCTATGTCCCCTCTCCCAGCCCCGCGCTTTTCCTCTCTCCCCACGTTTGCTGGGCTCTCTCCAACCACGGTCTGTGCGCCAGGCCGAGAGCGCGCACGCCCAGGAACCGGCGGCCCAGGCTCTTGGAGATTAATTCTTATTGAAGCTCTCCTAGCAGCTTGAACTTGTCGAACAAGTGCTCGGTCAGAGCTTGGGTCCGGACAGAGGTCAGGGGTCAGCCCTTTGGCTCCCCTAGCCTCGGCTACCTGTTGGGTGGCCTGTTGGGGTGAGGGTAGGGGAAGCTGATGCCCGCGTCCACAACGTCGCCCTCCCAGCCCTGTCCCCACACTTTCTGCAGACCTGGGGTCGACCTGGACTTTTGCTCGGAGTGTGTGCCAGTGTGCGCGGCACCCCGCTCCCTGCCCCGCGGGCCTAGGCGCGGGCTGCGTACTCCAGCACGTGACCGCAGGAACTTTCCACCCGCAACCGCAACCCGGGCTGGGCTGCAGCCCACCACCGCTAGGCGCCCCGCCCCACCTGCATCCTTGCCGCAGCCTCACCCAGAGCGAGTAGGTGTGTGTGTAGTGGGCCGGGGCCAACTCTTTCCAAGGGGTCAACTCTTTCCTCGGTCCTCTGGATTGAGGTGAGATTAGCGAAGGGTGGGACCTAAACCATGATCAACCTGAGATTTTGTTTTGTTTTGTTTTGAGACAGGACACGAAATCAACACTGTTGAGAGGCAAGTTGGATCAAAGAAGTGGAATCTGCGAACGAGCTCGGGAGGTAGTGACTACTCGAACTCTGCGAACTCTGCGTCCCAAAAGGGAAGTGGTTTTCCTATGGGCATCTAAGAGACAGTCACTAGCTTGCAGGATAGTATTTGGAAGCAGGAGTCGTGGCTCCCACCGCTGGCATAGCAGAGACTCTGAGGGGGAGCTGGGTCAAGGACAAAGAACTTAAAGTACCCAGTTTCTGAGCGGAAACTGAAGTTCAGTGTTCAGGACTAGATCCTGACCTGTTCTCCCCCGCCCCCCTTCCAGGGGACAGGAATGGGGGGTGGAGGTTAGGAATCTGGTGAGAAGAACTGGAAGCCCTTTTGTCTTCGGGATTCTGGGGCTTGAAGTTCTAAGTAGTAAGGCTCCTGAGGACTCCCGGTGGTCTATTCCTCCCAGTCCCAGGTACTTTCACTTCTTTTTAATCATGCATAGGCATCAAAACTTTCTGGAAAATACTGCTGCAGCTTTCCAAAGTGTTTGAAAAGTAAGGAAAACCCTCTCTCCAGTTGCAAGTCTAGAGAGGTGTCAATAAGTCAAGTCACTAGAAACACACACACACTTACACACGCACCCTTAGAGCAAAGACACAGCAGTAAGCACATACTCAGCAGTTCCTCCTGAGCACACAGCTGTAATTATCTTGTGTAAATCACAGTGCTGTTCTGAAATCACTCCCATGACTTTCTGTCATGATTGGTGGCAACAGTAATGACCAAGTCTGGGGAAATTTTTGGCTAAGATGAAGGGACTAAAGCTGACTCAGGAACAAGTCCAGGAGAAGGCTATATGGGCATTTTCTCCCCGCCACCCTCTTACCTGCAAGCTTCTGCTTTTGACAGCCCTGCAGGGTGTGGGGACATGAAACCTAAGGTTAAGAATCTTATGGAGGAGGGGGCAGAGGTGGGGGGTGGGGTAGTGGGATGTTATCCCTTTCTGTCTCCTGGAAGCCTGGGAAAGAAAGCCTCTGCAAGCCAGAACTATTACTTTTCATCTTCCTATCCCAGGGCTCCAGCATGCTGCATATGTGTTGAGTGAATGAAGAAAGATTTGCAGATTTCCCAAGAAGCCACTGGAGGTACAGCAAGACTGACCACTGAGAGCCAGAAGGTGTAGATTTGGGTTCTATTCTAACTACCTGGATAATGCTAGGCATGCAACACTACTTCTCTTGGCCCCAGTCCTTGCAGACAGGTAGTCTCTCCATCAGTCTAACTTTCAAAGCATTCTCATGCATCCATGAAAGGAAATGATTGGTAAGGGGTAAAGGCCACCTATATCAGAAATATCTTTTTGTTTTAGTTTGGTTTGGTTTTGAGTCATACTTGGCAGTACTTAGGAGCTCCTGGCTTGGTGTTCCTGGCAATTCTTAGAGACACTATGCAGTGCCAGGAAGAATCATACATGAAAGGCAAGTGCTTTACCACTGAGCCATATCTCTGCCCCCATTGAAATACTTTTTTTTTTTTGTTTTTGTATCACACTCAGCAGTGTTCAGGGCTTACTCCTGGTTCTGAACTCAAGGATCTCTACTGGAGGCTTGGGGGACTATAAGGGGTGCCGGGGATTGAACCCCAGTAGGTTGCGTGCAAGGCAAATGCCCTACCCACTGAACTATCTCTCTGGGCCCTTAAAATAATCCCTGGCTGTGTTCGGGGCTTACTCCAGTCTTTATGGTTATGGATCACTTAGGGGACTACACGCGGTACTAAGATTCTAACTAACATTAGCTGCATGCAAGGCAAGCACATTACCCCTGTACTATCTCTCAAGTCCACCAAAAATAACTTTGGACAGAAATAACATTTGTATTAAGTACAAGGTGAGTTTATATAGCCTTAGCTTGGGAAAAGAGTGAACCACACCTTGAAAATTCTGCTCCTTCTATCAGGTCCTGCAGCTTCTCTTTATTCTCTTGTGAATATGGACATTTCAGCCAAACCAAAATCAAAATTCAGGCATGAAGGGGCTGGAGCAATAGCACAGCAGGTAGGGTGTTTGCCTTGCACGCAGCTGACCAGGGTTTGATTCCCAGCATCCCATATGATCCCCCGAGCACCGAGCACCGCCAGGAGTAATTCCTGAGTGCATGAGCCAGGAATAATCCCTGTGCATCACCGGGTGTGACCCAAAAAGAAAAAAAAAATTCAGGCGTGGAGTCTTTTTATCACAGGTTGTTTACATTTTGGCCCAAGATAAGAAATAAGACCACAAGATATTCTGGGGGATCCAGTAGTCTTTCTTTTCCTTCCTTCCTTCCTTCCTTCCTTCCTTCCTTCCTTCCTTCCTTCCTTCCTTCCTTCTTTCTTTGTCCTTCTTTCTTATCATACCCAACGATGTTTAGGGGTTACTCCTGGCTCTGCACTGAGGAATTACTCCTGGAGGTGCTCAGGGGACCATATGGGATGCCGGGAATTGAACTCGGGTCAGCCAATGCAAGGAAAAAGCCCTACTTGCTTGTACTATAGCTCCGGTTCCAATCTTTCTGTCTATTCACTAATTTATCCCTTTCATCAAGTATGACTTCCACCTATCTACTAGGAGTGTGGGAGATTATTGATGTAACTCTCTTTTCAAGGTTCAGGGGAAAACAGACACATAGAAGGTGACAAGGACTTTGCATTTAAGTAGAATACAGGGAAATCTGAGGAAATGTGCAGTGGATTCAAGTGGGCTATGCCCTGGAAAGCTCATCTTGGTTACAGGACTCTGCTTCTGAAAACCATCTTGCAATACAGCTCACTCTTCTGCTCAGGTGAAGTAGAATCTTGCTCACTAGAGTGTATGTGAAAGATACCTTCAGAACACTGCTCAAGCACCAGATATCAGATTCTCTGTCTAATTTTCCATATACTAGTTTCCTTAAAAGTGGCATCACTTTCTCCATTAACTGTATCCCCTTTTCTTCTAAAAAAAAAAAAAAAAGCAAAAGAGAAAGGAAACACCCAATAGTAAGCAGAGCTGATGTGGGTGTGGTAGGTGTGGAACAGAGAGCAGTGACCAGCCCCCACACCCCCTCTACTTCTGGTGACTCAGTCCTTTAAAAAGACTTCACCTTTCTGACAAGCTAATTTAAGAAATAACCAGACTTGGAAACATCAGTGGAGCTCGGGTTTAGGTTTGATAGTCCGGCTCCAAAAGGCATCCCAACACAAGCTTTGTTTGAGTTTTTGTTAGGAGAAAGACAGATGAATGACTGAATGATTTTCATCTGTATTTAAGTCCTAACCCAACTATGGTGGCTTGTTGCTTCTCCAGTGGGTGGAGAGAGAGTGTGTGCATGTAGGTGGATTCCAGAGCTGAGTCTTACATGAAGTACAAGCATAGTCAGGATTTGCTCACAAATGAAGGACTGGGATCTGTCAGCCTTGCTCTGAAGTCCACTGTGGGCCTCTCTACAAGTTATT